GAAAACGAAGATTCCATTGCAACTTCCGTTTTTCTTTTCCTTGAATAGTGCCATTGGCAAGACGGCGAATTTTCCGGACTTATCTGTTTCCAAGAGTTTTAAGGACTTCGTTTCTAACCCTTCCCAACCACGTTAACTTCTCTGAAATTTCGTTTTTCCTTCTGGTGCGCATTCATTCATTCACCAGCTCGCCTACACCCTTACTATATTATATCAATGCTTATGTGTAGTTTTTTGTTTGTCTCTGCTGTATTGAAGGATCGCCCGCAGTGGCCTCTCCTACAAGCTCAACAGGTGCATGTCGGTGTTCAGGATGTCGTTCACTACATTCATCGACTCAGTTGCCCTTTCGGTAACGGTGCGTGGCAGCTAGGCGACCTGTGCCGCGTGGATGCTTTCGGCATTTTCTCTGTATTTGTCTTATACAATCCCCTCCATGGCCTCCTGTGCGTCAGACTTTTCTTGCCCCTTAAACGGTGTCGTCGTCACGTGCTGGAAGGACACGGGACACGCTTCAAGCTATGTATTGACTCTGGTGGCTCGTAGCGCCTTTTGCGGTCTATCCTAAGGTGAAATATAGTACAAATAAAGAGACAGGAAACACGTGGTTCCCACATTGTTCAAAAACGTTTTCTAACAAAAACTTAAGTTATGTGTGAAACCCCGCAACGTGTTAGGTAACGTACACAATACAACTACCTTAGTGACACATCGCATCAAATACAGGGTCAATTAAGAAAAAAATGCATCCTTCCCAAAGGTCCGGTAAGCTGTCTGAGGAAGAACTGGAACCGGTTTGTCGTATGCGAAGAAAGATTCGTGTATCAGATCCCGTTGACGTGTGGCAGTAAATATGTAGGCCATACAAAAAGGTGTCTTAATGAGAAATTACGCGAACATAACCAGAACGTGAGCAGCCATAAATATTGCCATCTGTCGATGCATTGTCATGAGTGCGGATGCAAACATGTGTTCACTACATGCACGCGTGCATGTAGTGATAACCAGCATGCATAAAAATGAAACGGTAAATGAAATTATTGAAACGTACTAAACCAAACGTTTCGATAATGAATGCATCAGCGTGGCTTCAATTGATATAACAAATAAAGATAACCAGATCTTGCGATCAGCACCGGGGTAGAGGACTGGTTGAGTGACGTTATAGCGTCGAGTATATATTCGCGCGGAGTTCCAAAAATTATACAGTTGACGTTAGCGGATTGTTTTGTGTTTTCTTGCCACTTGTCTCTATATGAGCAATAATATTTTCAAAAATAAAAATACATGGCACTCGTTTTTATAACCTTGTTTCTACTGGTGTCAGCTGGCACGAGCAGTTCGACATGGTTAAACAGTCTAATCACTCTATAAAGTAAAACTTGTGTGAATTTGTTATGTCCACGAGCGGTTTCAAAAGCGACAAGTTATTATCGACAAAACGTGGAAGGCAGCGACTGTTTAAAAAAAAACGACACATCCAGAGCAGCGAGAAAGTAACGCGATTTTTTTTTATCTCTGTACCGAGTAACGTATGGCACTCACCAAGCCTTCGGGAACACGCGAACAGTGTCTTATCTTATATGGTAATATTATTCTGACGGCAGCTGTAGAAGTACTTCATAACGTAGAGCTCAATGAAAAAGTTAAAGGGCCCGTTGGCTCGAAATCGCTAACCACGGTTAAGTTAGCCGCAGTACCTAGGAGAGGGATTTTAAAATCACGTGACTGGATCGGTAGGGAATTGGGGAAACATGGCGGTGCTCCGGTGAGTGAGCGCCGCTCGCTTTGGAACTAATATGTCGTTCTAGCTGCAATATTGGGCGCTTTAGTCCGCAATGAATGGTGCAGGAGGCTTTCGCTTTGCCTTACCTCTCTTATATCGCAAAGCATAAGCAATCACCTCACCGCATTTTTTAGACAGTCTTTCGATTCTGGCCATTCCTAAGCCTAAATGAACGCGATAAATGTCGGCATGGCAACGTCTTTGGAAAGTGGATTGCCTTGACTCAATCGGCCGACTATTGATAGCATACAAAGGTTGTGTTACAAATCAATCTTACTTAAATGGATTCGAGTTACTCCGGCGGATCGTGTCACGTGACAACACAGATTGAAAAGCGCTGGACGCGAGTAGGTTTTGGGACGCCAAGGTAAAAACCCTTACCCTGGAGTAAGATGGAATAAATTTTGGAACATGGCCAAAAGCAGACAGCGTCCCAAGCACCCAGGTGCATGCTACGAGAGTAGTTACACGCGTTGCACGTGCTGGCGTCTGCAATAGCAATTGTTCTAAAGCAAAAAGTCTCAAACCAATTTTGCCTTGCACGCGCGTTTGTTAAAGCCGTATTACGATTATTTACTTCGAATCTTTTATAAGAGGAAGGCCAGCGCGCACGGACCGTAAAATTACGCTTTGCGCGTTCTCCTCGATGCTTGAGTAATTTACTAATAGGTCTATATTCACTAAGACCGAATTACATGGTTTTCAATTTATGATGGTGTTATATAGTTCTTACATGCTGGCCAACCATGCTGCCGGTGTACCGCCCGCCTTTAACTGCTCATTTCTTCCTCATCGTTTTTAGGACTGAACCTCGTCGTCCTCTTTTGAACTTGGAAGTAAATTTCAACGAGGGTACAGTGACGAGGGGTTTGTGTGCTATTAGTACTCGGCCGATTAAGTCAAGGCAATCCACTTTCCAAAGCCGTTGCCATGCAGACAGTTGTCGCGTTCATTTAGGCTTAGGAATGGCCAGAATCAAAAGACTCTCTAAAAAATGCGGCCGGGGCACCGTCGTGTTTCCCCGCATCCCTACCGAGCCCACCAGTAACGTGATTTTAAAATGCCTCTCCTAGGTACTGCGGCTAACTTTAGCCGCTGTTAGCGCTTTCCAGCAAACGGGCCCAGGAGGGAAAGCCGTTCGCTCAAGGTCAAAATCGTGGCTTTACTGTGACCAAAGCTAGCGGTTCTTTCCAGCCGGCGGATCTATACTCCATTTCACCTTATGTCGTACCGCAGAGAAGGCTAGAAGCGCGAGCACATGGCGTTGGGAGCTGCTCTTAACGCACAAGAGCTTGTGCCGCCGAGATGTGCCCTAGAGCAAGCTGCTCGCGCTTGTAGCCTTTCCTGCGGTACATCATAAGGTGAAACAGAGTATATACTCCTCGTTACCTTTTAGCACGAAGAGGCACATGTGCCTGTCGAAAGTATCAGTTATTGAAATATCCCATTAGTATTTAAAGTTTCTACTGAATGAGCCATATATAAACCGGTGATTTCGGTAGTCACCTGTATACACCGTAAGTGAGTGGGGCTAAAAGCGTGGATTGTTTCACAGATAAAATTGGTGTGTTTTCTCCCCGCTGCGAGAAAACAGTCTACTCAAAAAACAATTTAAAGAAAAACGTACTTACCCCGCGAGAAAAGGTTATCCACGCGGCGCTTATTTGCGTTCTATGTAAAAGTGGACAGCATATCCAATCGGCGACAACGAGCATCAACTTGCGACGAACAACTGCGTAAGACACCGTACAAACTAGAGCCAGCCTGCACGAAAAACGCATTTCTCGGACACCATAATCGTCTTCAACGCGGCGACGAGAGGACTGGCAAAAAACTAACACCACCAAAATGGGGTCAGCTATTTATGCGGGAAAAGTTCACCTGCCAAAGAAGGGTGGGTAAGTGTGAGAGAGAGGGAGGAAGCGGTGCGCTTTCAGGTTCGCTTTTGTAGCTCGACGAAGTCTTCGCTCGACGAAGTATTCGCTTTTGTTATCTTAAAACGCGCGCAAACAACGTAAAAAGAAAAAAAAATTGCCCTTGTCTACTTACTTTTTCTTATATATTGGCCGTAATATCAGGGCGTTCCATTTTGCTCGGCTAGCTCCAGTTTTGAATTCTCTCTACCTATCGAGGAAGGCAGCTACTAGAACTCCCTAATGCTAGAATGATACAACCACACACGCACGCACATTTATATATTTAACGTTTGATAGATTCTTAAAACACTCGCTAGTGTAACGCGCAACAACCCAACGCTCGGAGTTGGTAATAACGTAATCTCACAAGGGTACGCCAGCGGCGCTGTCGATTTTAGCCTTCCCAGTGTTGCTCGTTTGGCCACGGTGGCGCTGATGATCAACCGACGGTGGCGCTTTCCGGAACCCTCCCCAGAGCCTATATGGGGCGAGTTTGGCCAGTTTATGATCTGGCCGCCGTTACCCCCCTCCTCCTCCTCCCCTCCCCCCCCCCCCCCCCCCCCCCCCCTTTCCTGAGTGAGCCGATCAGTCCGCAGCGCAGAGCGAGAGGCGTGAGCGCATGCGCGTAAACTCTCGGCAGCTCCAAGCTGAGCGGGGAGGGCCGCCATTTCCCCTCCTTCGCCCGGTGAAATGCATGGGATGGACATCCAAATTTCGTTTCTTTCCTTTTATTTGGCAGGCTATTGCAAGAAAATATTATTGTGTATTCCTCGGTGGCTTAAAAATCTAGCGAATAAAGTTTCTCCAGGTTTGTACGCAAACTTTTATTCAGGTGAAAAATAAATAAGCCCGTAGCAGATGATGAGTAGCCTCAACAGTGCTCTGCGCCCGTAGCGCGTTGCGTCAAAATGGCGCTCGTCTCTTCTTTGCACTCTCCTTCCTCTCTCGCACCTTCGGCGCTCTTCTCGGTTTCCTTCACTTTTCTCCTCTACCGCGTCTTCGTCGCCACACTCACTGGCCAGACTCTCCCCGTACACGAATCTGACCCGCAGACATCAGTAGCGCCCCCTCAACAACAGTACCGAAAGCTGCCGCTGTGTTCAGGATAGAAAACAGCTGCAGTCAGCGTTGCGCTAGAGCTAGATCCCGTTGTTGCAACAAGATTTACGTAAGCGACACCAGTTAATGCACTTTGTATTTTCGCTTTTGTCACAAGTTCAGCACATTGAAGATTTATTTTTTACTTACATATATCTGCGACAGGTTTTTATTTGTGACATTATGTCTATATATTTCAGAAATACGTTGGCTATGATCCAAAAAACTGCACCGTTGTATGCGATAATGAAGAACGGCCGAGGTTGCCAGAAGGGGTTTGCTCGGTCGGTACAGTGGTAAGTCATCAGGAAAGCTTTTTGCTGTCTGGACGCTTCTTTTTCTAACAGGTGCCTTTGAAGCGACACCCCGTGGCCATTTTATATAAAAATAAACTTGTTTATAATTAAGTTTTACTTTTTTGAGGGCAGCCTGGATGGCAGATCAGTATCAAACTTTTCTGGAAATGTCATGTGTTTGGCACTAGCCGAGGCAAAACTGATTGGTTCTCTCTAAATATGAGCATTAGCTACACGCGAACTATATTTTAACATCTGACAGACCATATTTATTTCTTCCGGGCTCACAAGTTAAATTACACCCCGTTTTTTTTTTCTGTTTCTGCAGATGAACTCATTCTTTTTATCTCAGTATACAGCCGGTGCGGAGATAGTATAGAAACTATTTACATGTTTAGCTACTTTTAAACTTCGATGCCATATATTGACGACACCACAAACAACTCTTATATTATACCTATATCCCAATATTCACGGCCTCTACAAAAAGCTCAGCAGCTAGCAGAATGAATCTTACCAACGTACCCTGAACCCAATATTAAGGTCACAATTCCTAAAGCCTCTCAGTTTCTAGAATGTCAAAATGACCCTCACGTCACAGACTGGTAGGCCAATATTAAGTGACAATTGCCAGGTGTAGTACCGTCTGTTTTTAAGACTATTGTTGAAGCGAATTTCTTCTCAGAAGTCACGTCATGTCCTGCCAAGTGGTTTGCTAGAATAGGCCTGTTTCTCTCGGCCAAGGGGGAGGGAGTGCGTCCTTAAGACGCGACCATGTAATGCTTGCATCAAGGATAATGCAGCACTGCAACATTTGATCATGCACGAGCTACGGTTGTTTATAAGCGTGAGTCAATATCTTATTATGCGCGGTACCAGCTCGTTCAAAAAAAAAAAAATTGTGCTCTCGTTATTTTATCAAAATGATAAGAATTATTCTCTTATAGTTTTTTTGCCCTTGTTGATTCTCTATAATTGATATTCACCAATGTAAATTTCACAGATTACTCTCCACGATCATAGTGAGGAAGCCTATTGTCGCACAACTGAAAATGCGACAGTAAAGTATCTGATGTGCTTAATAAAGGCGCTGCCCAGACTCGAGAGCTAGACTTAATATTGTCACGGGTGGTGACCAAAAAACAATAAATAAACAGAAAGAAATAAACGTTTAATGTGGCGAACTTGTGCCAAAAATAAAAGGGTACAAAAGATAATAACGGAGCGTCGCGGGCGTCGAAGTCGGCGTGGCAGCAGAGTCGAACGCTGGGCGAAAACTGACTGCAGATCAGCACGCGGAGTCCCTTATGTACGCGCGTTGGGTTCTGGAACAATCGGCCTAGATTGTTCGGCGACTGGAACATTCAGAACTCGATCTGACGAGAATGTTCTCGAACTCACGAGAACGCAATGAAAGAACAAATAAAAGAGCATTCCACTGACTGGAATCGAACCCAGACTTTCTGCACGACAGTCAAGCACGGTAACCACTCGGCCACGCGCGCGGTCGCTCGCTGACGAGCGTGGCATTACTCCCCCCTTTAAAAAGGCATCGTCTCGATGCCACGTAAAAGGCAACAAAACAGAGCGAAACAAACAAAAAAATGGGAACATACGGAGGCTCGCGAAACACAATCCTATCAAGCGGTGCACAAGATCACAGTTCGCAGTCTTATCGCGCGTGGTACGGCTTGAGGCGCACGACGTGGACGACTTCCGGTCGTGGAGCGCGGCGTGATGAAGTCCGTGTTCCGTCGGGCATCACCTCGTAGTTCAGATCCCCGAGTCGACGAAGTACGTACTTTGTAGGGTCCGAAGTAGCGCTTTAGGAGTTTCTCACTGAGACCACGGCGGCGGATCGGTGTCCACACCCACACCCTGTCTCCGGGCTGGAAGTGGACGTCCCGACGACGAAGGTTGTAGCGGCCAGTGTCGACACGTTGTTGGGCTTGAATACGGTGTCTGGCGAGCTGGCGGACTTCTTCTGCCCGTTGGGCAACCACCTGGGCGTCGTCGCTTCCGTCGAGAGCCGGTTCGTGGGGTAACATCGCGTCCAGCATTGTCGTTACTTTACGACCATGAACCAGTTGGAAGGGTGTCACCCCGGTGGTCTCTTGCACGGCCGTGTTGTAGGCAAATGTGATGTACGGCAACACCTCGTCCCATGTCTTGTGCTCCACGTCGACGTACATGGAGATCATGTCGGCGATGGTCTTGTTGAGTCTCTCCGTCAGCCCGTTGGTCTGCGGGTGGTACGCCGTTGTGCGCCGATGGCTGGTGTGGCTGAGACGAAAGATTTCTTGCGTCAGCTGGGCCATGAACGATGATCCACGGTCTGAGATCAAAACTTCGGGAGCGCCGTGCCGGAGGACGATGGATTTGATAAAGAACTTGGCGACTTCCACAGCAGTCCCTACAGGAAGGGCTTTCGTTTCGGCGTACCGTGTGAGATAATCTGTGGCGACAATAATCCATCTGTTTCCTTGCGTCAATGGTGGGAAAGGACCAAGTAGATCCATTCCGATCTGCTGGAACGGTACGGTCGGGGGAGCGATCGGATGCAGGAGACCTGCCGGCTTCGTCGGCGGTTTCTTGCGTCGCTGGCACTCGTGGCAGGACCGTGTGTAGAAGTGAACGGTCTTCGGCAGCTTGGGCCAGTAATACCTTTCACGAATTCGGGCCAGCGTACGGCTGTAACCAAGGTGTCCGGACGTCGGGTCGTCGTGACAGGCTTGGAAGATCTCCGCTCTAAGGTCGGTGGGGATTACCAGCAGCCATGGTGTGCTGTTGTCTCCGAAGTTCTCCTTGTAAAGTACACCTTGTCGGAGGACGAAAGTCGGCAGGGCTCTCGAGAAGACACGGGGGACAGTACCCCCTCGTCCCTCGAGGTGCTCGATTAGCGCGCGCAACTCAGGATCGTCTCTTTGACGTCGTGACATTTCGTCGGTGTTCAATGCACCTAGGAAGCGCTCGTCGTCTTCGTCGTTGCTGCTGCCGGAAGGTGTTTGGATGGGGGCTCTGGACAGGCAGTCGGCGTCGCTGTGCTTGCGGCCTGACTTGTAGACCACAGTCATGTTGAACTCTTGTAGTCGTAGACTCCATCGAGCGAGGCGCCCTGAGGGGTCCTTGAGGTTCGCAAGCCAGCAGAGCGAGTGGTGGTCCGTGACTACACAAAACGGGCTCCCGTACAAATACGGACGAGACTTCGTGATTGCCCAGACGACAGCAAGGCATTCTTTTTCAGTCGTGGAGTAATATTTCTCCGCCTTGGACAGTGTCCGACTTGCGTAGGCGATAACTCGCTCGGTGCCGTCTTGCACTTGAACCAGTACCGCGCCAAGTCCAGCGTTACTTGCGTCCGTGTGAATTTCGGTTTCCGCATCTTGATCGAAATGTCCTAGAACAGGAGGAGTCTGCAGTCGTCGCTTCAGCTCGTCGAATGCCTGCTGCTGCTTCTCGGCCCATTCGAACTTCTCGGCGTCCTTTGTGAGGTTTGTGAGTGGTGCGGAAATCCTTGCAAAATCCCGGATGAACCGCCGATAGTAGGCACATAGTCCAAGAAACCTTCGCACGGCCTTCTTGTCTGTCGGTACTGGAAATGCTGCGACGGCGCGAGTCTTCTCTGGGTCGGGGCGAACGCCTTCGTTACTAACCACGTGACCTAGAAACTTCAGTTCGTCATAGGCGAACCGATACTTTGACGGCTTCAGGGTGAGTCCGGCGGTCCGTATGGCTTGGAGAACTGCTCGGAGTCGTCGCAAGTGCTCGTCGAAGTCGCTGGAAAACACAACGACGTCATCGAGGTAGACGAGACAGCTCTGCCACTTCAGTCCTGCCAGTACGGTGTCCATGACACGCTGGAAAGTTGCTGGAGCCGTGCACAGTCCGACGAGCATCACCTTGAACTCGTACAGCCCATCTGGCGTGACGAAAGCTGTTTTCTCTCGGTCCCGTTCGTCGACCTCGATCTGCCAGTAGCCGCTCTTCAGGTCCATGGGTGAAAAGTATCGGGAGTGGCGCAGGCGGTCTAACTTGTCGTCGATGCGGGGGAGTGGATAGACGTCTTTCTTCGTCACTGCGTTCAGCTGCCGGTAGTCCACGCAGAACCTAAGCGTTCCGTCCTTCTTCTTAACCAGTACAACTGGAGGGGCCCACGGACTGCTTGAGAGTTGGATTGTGTCGTCATTCAGCATCTCTTGCACTTGCTCCTGGATCACCTCCCTTTCTTGAACGGAGACTCTGTACGGCGATCGATGCACAGGGCGCGCGCCGTCCTCGGTAACGATGCGGTGCTCCGCAATGGTGGTTTGGCGCACCCTCGACGACGTCGCGAAGCAGTCACTGTATTCGGCGAGAAGGTCACTTAGCTGCCGTCGTTTCGGGCGTGGAAGCTTGCGGTCAATGTCGAGCTGCGCTGGCGCCGTAATGTGTTGCTGAGGTGGGAATGATTCTTCAGCAATCGCGGCGATTTCGGCGGAGTTCTGAATTCCCTCGACGTGGCCTACAGCGGCACCTTTCGTGAGGTGCTTCGCCTCTTGTCGAAAGTTTGTCACGAAGACCACGGTGCGCCCATCCTGAAGTTCAGCCACTCCTCTTGCGACGCCTATTCCTCTTTCTAGGAGTAATTGAAGGTTGCCTTCAAGAACAACTTCGCCGCAGGTAGCTACATCGGCCACTACGGGTACGACAACACTTGATCGCGGCAGCAGGTTCACGTGGTCGGCAGCGACTCGGACGGCGGCTGACGCTGTTTGAGGTTTCTCTGAAGACGGAACGGGCTTGCCCAGCGTCAATCTGTTCTCACCAAGGTCGATGACGGCGCCGTATTCACACAGAAAGTCCATGCCGTGAATAACGTCTCTGGAACAGTCTTGTAGAACGATGAACTTCACAGGGCACGTTTCACCGCGGATCTCGACGCGAGCAGTGCATCTCCCGATGGGTGTGATGAGGTGCCCTCCGGCGGTTCGTATTTGAGGTCCATCCCACGGCGTCGTGAC